CTGCGCCTGTGTGTGGTGAGGCAGACCTCATGGCGGAGCATGTGGAGGAACAAAGGTTTTTTTGGCAGTAGGGGATGGAACTTGTAAGGCCAGCGCTCTATCAGTTGAGCCACACCCCAGCTCTTTGTTTTTCAGATAGGGTCTTAAGCTAACTTTGCCTGAGCTGGCCTTGAACTCCTGTCTCCATCTCCCAAGTAGCTGGGATGACAGGTTTGTGCCACCACACCAAGCTGTAGTCTAAAGTATTAAATGGAAAATTACAGAAACAAACAATTCGCGAGTTTTAAATTGTGCACTATGCTGAGTGCTGTGAAGGAACCGACACCACCCTGCTCCTCCCTCCCTCCTGGGACATGAACGTCCCTTTGTCCACGTGTCTACTCTGTAGACACTGCCTTCCTAGGAGTCGTCTCCGTTATCCGATAGGCTAAGTGCTGGGGTCAAGTGACCCTTATTGCCTTCCTGGTCCCACAGTGCAAGCGTAGTGAAGCTGGCGATTCAGGTGCACCACAGAGAAGCTTCCTTTTAGTGAAAAGGTCAAAGCTCTCGACTCACCGCTAAGATGCCCAGTAAGCATGGACCGTCCATCTGTGAAATTGTGACAAAGGGAAAAAGAATTCCTGCTGGTTTTGCTGTTGTGCCTCACGCTGCACAAGTTCCGGTTGCAGCATGGTGAGCTCTTAGGATGGACGAGGCATGGAACCCGTGTTGGGCAAACAGGAAAGACCTTAGCACCAACTGAGTAGGAGCAGAAGGGCAACGCTGCTCCTAGCCCAGCTGTGGTGTCACCAAGCCCTGGGTCTTCATGTCGATGGTCAGACCAGAACTGATGGAGAAGAAATTCTGCATGGCTTTAAAACCCCAGTGTGGTGTCTGATAAATTGAGGTGTGAGCATTTTCATCAGTAGAAGAACTACTAAGTGAAAAAGGGTCTCTTTCCACATGTGCACCATTCAAACTCAGTTTTCACAGCAATTTTAATAAGTAAAAGAGAGCAAACGACACCCCAACAGGGGTAAACCTTCCTAATCTCACTGACATGACTGACTCCTTCCTGTCACTCATGCACATTCTGTCCTGCTGCCTTGAGGCACTGGAAGAAGAGCTCAGGTGTGAAGTCTGGCTCCACACACCATCTGTATTTTGTGCTCTTGAGAGGACTAAACAAAGGTACAAACCAAGAGTAACTCTCACTTACTATAGAAAGTCAATGCTCGTTCCCGTCCACGTACAAGACAAAAGTAATTTGTGTAGTTGGCTATGCATCTATACCTGGTATTCTCACTTCAACTGTAAACTCTGACAGCATGGCTGGCTAGTGTCACCAAGTGTCCCAATCATGGCTGGTAAAGAGGACTTCATAGCACCATGGCATTTACAAAGGCTACCTAACTCGGCCAGTTGGGGGCTAGTTCTGTCAGTGTCAGTGCATGAATTCCCTGGCTCCTACTTAAAGCTGAGAAGCCCTGTGTACGCCACCCTGTCACATCACCACAGGGTTCAGGGTGCTCTCTGAACAGAAGCGATGAAGGCAAGTTAAACAGCGCAGAAGCCCCATAATTAGGCAACCTCCAAGGGAGGGACAACTCAGAAATCCGCGGTCATCAGCATCACACAGAGGAGACACAGCGAGGGAGCACTGGTGTTTTAAGAAGACAATTTGGGCAACAAAGTCACAGCGTGCTGGGTTTACTTACCATATTGGGATGTGCACAGCCCTGACATCACCTAGCAAACAAGTTCAAACCCACCACCTTGCTTCTATACCTAGGGCAGAAAATTTAAATTCCCTGGCTCATTTAGTAGTAGCCTGACAAAAGAGAAACAGAACTGAGCTCTTCATTCCAGTGGCAACAATCTCATATTGCCTGAGCCTGGGGAAATGCAAGGAGGTAAGTGATCTGGTGGCCTGGGGTACGGGTGACCTGGTACCACACACAGAAGCCCACAGCAGGTGGCTCCAGTGAAAGAAATGAAGCCAATCTTGCTGGAAGCTAATGCCACAATCCCTCCCTAGATGCTGTTTACGCAGAGGAGCATCACATGGGGACCAGAGGGCTGCACCCCAGTGATCTCTAACAGTCTATCCGTGCCAATGAGATACTGACTGATCAGAAGAGTTAGTAAAATCCAATGACTAGTGGGCCAGTTCTGAGACACAGACACTCTAGCATCAGTTCTCTCTCTCTCTCTCTCTCTCTCACACACACACATACACACACACACACACACACACACACACAAACACACACACACACAAAATATTTTTTTTTTTTTTTGCAGTACTGGGGCTTGAACCCAGGGCCTTCACCTTGAGCCACTCCACCAGCTCTGTTTTTTTGTGTGAAGGGTTTTTTTTGAGATAGGGTCTTGCAAACTATTTGCCCGGGCTGGCTTTGAACCATCATCTTCCTGATCTCTGCCTCCTAAGTAGCTAGGATTATAGGCGTGAGCCACTGGCACCCAGCCACACACACACATCCTTTGACCTGCTCCTCTATCTGGATTCTTACCTCCCTTGATTCAGTCTTTTCTCGGCCACTTTGCTAGAAACACAGAGACGTCTGCACTTCCTGTACCCTAGCTGTACACGCATCTTGCCCAACTGGGGCCTGCCATCGAGCCATTGTTAACAAACACTTGGAGTATTGATGAAAATTTGGTTTGAAGTACAACAAAAGGCCCAGAGTCGGCTTTCCATCCCCATGATTAGATACCCACAATAATTAACTTACAAAAATAAAGATTATTTTGGCTCATGGTTTTAGAGGTTCTGGACCATGACTGGATGGACCCAGTGCTCTGAGGCTCTGGTGGGTATCAGATGGCAATGGCAGCAGCACATGTGGAGCCCATGGCTCACCTCACTGCAGGAAGCAGCAGAGGAAGAGGAAGGGCCTGGGGCTCCACAACCCCTTCAAGGATATACCCCAAATCACCTAATGTTCTCTCACTCAGCCCCACCTCTCAAAGGTTCCACCACCTCCAATGGTGCCACCCTGGAAACCAAGCCTTTGGAGGACACTTAAGATCCAAACTACAGATGCACCCCCTTTTCTTTTAGATTTTTATTTCAGATTGATTGATGAATCAGCAAATCCATACACTCCTGTAGCTACTGCTGCAAATCCACACATTGAACTTTTCTATTGCTGCAAGATGTCCCCTCTGTCCCTTCCCAAGCACATCCCTGGGCAGTCACTGGTATGCTTTTTGTCACTATATGTTGGTCTTTTCTAGATTTCACACACACACATGAACATACAGTGGTACGTACCTATTTGGCCTGGTGTCATTGTGTGACATAAAGATCTTGACATTTCCCTGTGTTGTTGCATTAGTCAGTGGTTCTGTCGTTCTCACTGCTCAGTACAATTTGGCTGAATGGATACGCTGCACTTTGGTTTATTCAGTCACCTTCTGCCAGACATTTTGGGTTCTTTTCCACTTGGGGCTGTAATGGTAAAGCTGCCTTTCACATCCACGTTAAATGTCTGAGGTATATGCTGAGGATCTGTCTGACTTAATCAAGAACTGCCACAGTGCTCTCAGCTCCTGCCAATAACGCAGGAAACTTCTGTTGCTCTGCATTCTTACTGACTGCATCGTCAGTCTGAATCTCACCACTCTGATGGGCGGTAGTGCTGTCTGTCTTTACTTTGAAGCCCCAGACACCTAACCATGCTAAGATCTTTTTATGCTGCTAATTTGGCCAACTGCACACTTTTATAGGCTAAGTGCAAAGTGTCTGCTCAAATCTCTGACCTTTTTTTCTTGCAGTAGTGGGGTTTGAACTCAGGGCCTCACACTTGTTAGGCAGGTGCTCTACCACTTGAGCCACTCTGCCAGTCTCTTTTCTGTTGCGTATTTTCAAGATAGGGTCTCGCAAACTTTTTGCCCAATCCTAATCTCTGCATCCTGAGTAATATGGATTACAGGTGTAAGCCACTGGTGCCCAGCTCTGACCCATTTTTCACTTGGGCTACCTTCTTTCTGTTGACTTGTAAGAATTCTCAAATACAGCCCTGTGTTTTAAATATCTCAAACAGTTCACCCCATCTGTGTCTTGCAAAATGCTCTCTTTAAAGACACTTTTAAATTCCAATGAAGAACAATTTGTAGTTATTTTCGTTATGAATCAGGATTTTTAGATGCCAAGAAATCTTTGTCTACACCCCAGATGGTAAAGGTTTTCTCCTACATTTCCCTCTAGAAGTCACATAGTTTTAGTTTTACATAATCCATCCGAGGTTAATTTTTGTTTAAGATTTGAGGTAAGGTGGAGATTGTGACAGGACCATTTTCAATAGTTTGAAATTAGATTTCACATAATACAGTACTGAAGCATTTTTAATATTGCCCTTAAGGTAACATGAAAAAGAGGTTTAAGTATTTTTTCTCACGGAGATGTTCCTCCCATCTACAAATACTCGTAAGAGAATGACTGCAAGGGTCTGCCATCAGGAAATGTGTGAAGGTGGAGCCTGACAGGAGGTTAGAAAGGATGGTAAAGTTGCCTAAACCCACAGTGCACGCAGCTTTCTGATGCACCTGGTCCTCTGCAGCCAACTGTGGAGTGCGTCCCCCCAGACACCATGGGCCCAGAGCACTCCAGCCCCACAGGCTGGGAAAACACCTTTTAAAGTTCCACAACTGAAAAATGATGAAACAACACGAGGCAGGAAAACGCCAGTGAGCAAGAAAGTTAACTGAGGTTAACTGTGTCATCCAAAGGTCTCTTGGAGGGAAGTTCGAGTCTGACGTCAAGAGTCAGCCTTGGCTCACCTCTCCACGGGTTGCGAACCACGGCGTCAAGGACGCAGTCTACCTGCTGCTTGCCGTCAGCTGAGGCTACACAGGTGCCTGCTGCTGCTGTCTCCTTGTCCATCTTCTCGTCTCTGGGCTGGGGAGGAAAGCCCTGCACTGGTCCTGGGTGCCAGCAGATGTCTTTCAAAGAATTGAGAATGTAACAAGGAAAACCCACAGCAGCAGGGCTAGCCTCAGCAGCCTTTCTGAGTGATGTCTAGGCCCGATGACTTGGTGATTTCCAAAGTTGTGAATACCTGTTCACAAGGAAGAAGACACAGCAAATATACATTAGACGTTACTGTTGCTTTAAGAGGACACGTTCAGAATGTTACACTTACACTGCTGTTTAAGATAAATAGAACAATAACTAATAAAAAATCTCTGACAATGATTTAAAATAGCTTTGCAACCCACACCAGTGGAAGCCCACTGAAAGCCCTGCTCTACCTCCCCACACGTGGGGTGGATTCCGATGGTGTCACTGAGCAGTTGTTTCGTGAGCCCACATTTCATTGCGGCTGCAAATCCTTGGGTAATTTCACCAGCATTCGGTCCAAGAACATGAAATCCTACCACCCGATCCTGCATGGGAACAAAGCAAAGAGAATCCTTGTCGGTTAACGGTCTGAGCAGGATTCTACTTGCTGCAAGCTCACAGTTAAAACTTCTGGCATCGCCCACAGGAAAGGAACTCTAATGTGGAACTGAGCAGAGAGCATCGCCACTTAAGAGCGCACAGCAGGAACTGTTCAACGAGCCAGCAAACGCACATCTAGCGTCAACGTGCACTCGGGTTTGCTGAACGAGCAATGTGCTCGCTGCGTGGAGGAGTTCAGCAGCATAATGCACATTTCTGACTTCTGCTCAGACAATGGTCCACGCCAAACAACAAATCTGAATTCGTCCAGGAGTAAGTTGTATTGGAACGTCAGAGACTGCCAGCCCAGTGAGCGAGGCACCCTGCACCTAACACTCAGCAGAGACCAAGAGGCTGAACAGGGCCACTGCCCAGCACTGCACGCGGGGAGGTCCGGGTACGGGTGAGGGGCAGACCCACTGCAACGGGAACAGGACTTGCAGTCAGGTTCCAAGTGTGCTAACAGTGAGCCCAAGGCCGTCTGTTGTCGTTTTGATCTTCAACAGTAAAAGTGTACAGAAAGAAGGTGAAGAGAAAGAGGACCAGTCCACATCTTCCCTAAGCAGACGCTGGACAGAGCCACGGGTCAGAGCAGAGAGCCTCAAACATCTGCTGGGGGCACTCAGCGGGGAGCTTCAAGAGCAGGTGCCACTGGGCTGGGGTGAAAAGTGCAGCAGCTGCCAGGGCCCAGCGAAGGGTGCTGAATTGGAATCAGAGCACTGCATCCTACAGCAAAGCAGAACAGGGTGGGGACAGGCCCAGAGAAAAGCGAGGATGTCTGTGAAACCTCCGCTGATCACTGAAAATGGAGGCAGGTCCCGTGTCAGGGCAACCTCGTTCACGACTTCTTCCAGGTAGCTGGAATAAAATGTTTCTGTTTTATAAGTGTAACGCTGACACTCAAGAAATGGACATCCGGTGTCTCTTTTTCAAAAATGGAGGACAGGAAGGTAAAACAGGTCCTGTCTGGGGGTTGGTACCATCAGAAGGAGGAGGAGGATATAAGGAAAGGGTGTAGGAGGGTGAATATGGTGGAATATGATGTGCTCATGTATGAAAATGGAAAAATCAGACCTGCTGAAACTATTCCAAGAATGGGGAGATAAAGGGATTTAAAGGAGGGGGTCAATTCAGTATGATATATTGTAAATGTCAAAACGTACCCAGGTACAATGGAATTGAGATTAAACAACAAAATAAATAAGAGAAAAGCACATCGGGGCTGGGGATGTGACTCAGAGGTGGACTACTGAGCCCTGGGTTCAATCTCCAGCCACACACACACACACACTCTTGCACACAGAGGAAATAAATGGGTATTAGGATGGAGGATGGGCAGTGGGCAAGGGGACCTGGTGACAGGTGACCCCAGCCCTCTCTCGTCAAGACAGCAGCTGCTCACAACTGCCTGTTTTAACCTATTTTAACCTCCAAAATCTTGCCCCCAGTTAAGAACACAGCCACCACAATGAACACTGGCCCTTGGGAACATGGCTGAGAGCCTGTCCCAGCTCGGCAGTGTGTCAAGGCCACAGTGACCAATCTCCCCAACTCTGCCCCGCAGCAAGTGCAGCTACCGAGCCCGAGCTAATTGGCTGGCGGCAGGGATAGTGTTTTCTGTTATACACAGACACGTGAGAATTAAACAAGACAATGACTTCCTTACTGGGGAGATGTCATGTAAACATCGGTGGTTACTGCTCATATTATCTGTTTATAAATTTTATTTGCCCCGATAGAATATAAACTTTTGTTTATATTCTGTGATGCTGGCCATGGAACCCAGAGCCTAGTGCATGGCAGGTGAGCATCCTACCACTGAGCTGCATCCGCAGCAGATTATAAACTCTTAAGAAGAGAGGAACCAAGTCTTTGCACGGCTTTCTCCACTCGTTTACTCTTTACAAAGCAAGTCGTCCACGAGCTGCTCCCTCCTCAGTAATGGGGTGCAGTGGAGCAGGTGTCTTTAAAGCCTCGCTCCGTCAGCACCGGCTCTTCCCGACTTCTCTCGTGAGCCTCTCCTAAAGTTTCCACACACATTCGGTCTCTTCATAAAACACGTGGACGCACCCCACTCACTGTGCTGCGAGATGACAACACATTCACCTTTGTAGTTCTAAACTACCAACGAACCACTGCGCAACAGGGATGGCTCTGGGAGACACTCCCAGTGACGCATCTAGAGGTACTGGTGAGCCCAAAAGAACCTGCTGCTGTCCACCTCTGCAAACATATTACTGACAACACTGCAGGAGATCCCGTCCTGAAAGCTGCCTTTAAAAGCATCATAAAAATCCACACACGGGAATAAAAGCCACATCCTAAAATGACATCATGTTGGACTGGGGATGTAGATCAGTGGTAGAACACATGCTTCACAAACACGAGGCCCTGAGTTCAACCCGCAGCAGCAATAAATAAGTAGGAATAAAATTACTGCACACAGTCATACTACGTACACTGTCAAATTTGTTACAGATTATTTTTGCGTAGCAAGTATTGTTGTCTCTGCCGGCTACTGTCCACTCAAGAGGCCAGAACAATGTATGGTATACCTAGAAGACAAGAACAGAGAGAAAAAGGCCAAGATTATCGTTAGGAAACCATCCCTCAGGGCTGGAGGCGTGGCCTGAGGTAGAGCATCTGCCTAGCAAGAGTTCAAACCCCAGTATAGCCAAAAAAAAAAAAAAACCAGAAAAAAGCTTCCTTAACATGCTCTTTAATTTTAAAAAGGCAGCAGTGTCTACAATAGCTTTCAGAAATTTGAAGTTCGATGACCTCAGCTTGATATATTGGATGTGAGCATTGGCACTGAGCTCTAGAAATGTCAGCTGCACAAGTTTGTTGACAGTTTTGCTCAGCTGTCAAAAAAAAATTCTATTAACTAAATCCAGTCTTCAAACGCTTTGAGTACTCCCAATGTAAGGCAACACATCAGGCTCTGTGTGTGCTGGAAAGTAAAGCCTGAGACCCTGACTACAGTCATATTTGCAAAATCTAGGACAAGTTCAAGATCAGAAGAGTTCCAGCCATTCAGAGCCTAAGCACAGTACCTTTGCTGCAGGCAGCAGGGCTCACACTCAGGTTCTCCTGCTCCCCAGCCCTCGTGCCAGAGCCCTGAGTCTACCTCCAAGCCTGCTTAGTCTGGCTCAGTCCTAGGAAGCAAAGCAAGGCACAATGGGCCTGTCCCCGACTTTCCTCTGAGTCTCTCCACACAGGGCAATGAGCTAATGCTTGGTGACTAAAGAAAAATGCATTCAGAGCTACAATCCACTAGGGATGTGTACAAATTTTTTTAATTGCAGCCAGATGCAACCATTGTCAATGTTAGGGAGGCATCCATTGCTTATGTTTATATAGTTAGAGTGAAATTTTTATTAAAAAGGTATGAGGGTATATAGAGTTACTCATAAAATATATTATATATATATATATAATTTATTTTAATGGAAGAGAAAGAAACTCTTCTACTTACATTAATACAAACTTCTTAATCTCTGTTGATATTAAGATAAGAAATGTTTCCCTGAAGCTACACTTGTGAGGTCTGGAGAAGGTGGTGAGAACTGCAGGAAGCTTCTGCATGCTTGTGAAGCTGCGAGCTCCTGCTTTGGCCTGTGCCTCTGTGGAGAGCAGAAGTGGCTCTCAGACTTCCTCCATCTCTTTCCACTCCATTCCTGGGGTTTGGAAAACATGTTTTCTTCCTTCTACTATCGTGAAGACTTTAATCAAAGAGGGCAGGAAGTATGGATCCAACTTTATTCTTGCACTGGAAGCTACCCTCTTATTCCAGCACCTTTTAATGGTCAGTCTGTTGTTCCCCATCGATGGAAGCCAGTACCAGTTTTGCATCTTAATTCTCATGAGCATTTGGATCGGTTTTTGTTTCCAAAAGCCCTTTCTGTCCCTCTATGCTGCAGGGTAAATGTGAGCTTCAGCGGGAGCTGGCCTCCCCATGACTCTTGCTCACATTCTTCCTATTACTGGTTCTACGTTTGAGTTTTGGTCCTTTATCAAATTACACATAATTGCTAGACGTTATTTGCAAAGCTCTGTCGTAAAGGCAGTGATCTCTGCAGCCATCACTTTCACCTCTTCTGCTCAATCATTTTGGTATTTGCCCCAGGTACATTGCTACTGCTGGACTTTCTGTTTAGGGCTGTGCTTCCTGACTTGCCTCCACCGCACACTCAGCCTGCCTGTTCCATACAGTTGCACTGTCAGATAGACAATCACCAAAGTCATAACAGCTATCCACAGACAACTGGAAAGCTGCACCCTCGCTTCATACACACCACACCACACCACGCATAAACTGGCTCTCAGACCTCAATGAAAGAGCCAAAATGATTTTTGAAACTTGGAAGAATGCAGGCATTTGTCTTTGTAACTTCGGATTAAGCAATGGTATCCTAAATGTGACATCAAAGAAAAATTGACAAAATAATAAGCTAGGGAAGGAGATGGATTCAAGATGGAGGTGTGCTGGTAGCTCCAAACTCTGGGGCTCCCACAAACCTGAAGGAACATGGAAACTGAGGGCTTGGAAAGACACATCCCAGGTCCCACAGGCAGTGAGAACAGAACCCTGCCTCAGCCCAAAATGAGTGAAGCAACAGAATATGCAGAGAAACCTTTGCAGGTTTGCACTTCCCCGGCACTAGGGCTGAACACTGGCACCGGAGCTGAGGTGGGAGCTGGGAGAGATGAGACCTTCAGCACAAGGACCACATGGAGAAGGCCGGTGCCCATAGGACAATCTGCTGAAGAAAGCTGTGGGACCAGTGAGCAGAAGTGGAGCCACACAGTACTCTGGGCCGGAATGAAAGACCACTCTGGAGCCAGCAGTGAACTTCCCAGGAGTGTGCAGGACACCTCCTAACACACACACACACACACACACACACACACACACACACACACACACACACACACTTGGAGCCAGAGAAACCCCCCCCCACCCCGCTGCAGGCGAGACTGGAGCTCGTGTGACCACCACTGAAAGGCCTGTGATGATCAGGTACCCAACAGGGAAAATCTACTGGGACCCAGTAGTGGCCCACAGAGGTCACAGGGAACAGGGCACGGTATGGTGGCACTACCAACAGGGGAGTTGGACCTCCAACCCTGTCAGAGGTCAAAACCCTGAGCTTGGTGCATAACTACACTCTGTAAGTGCTGTGGACCTTGAGAGACTGGAACATCGCAAATATGAGTAGGGTGAGACAGACAAACTCCAAAGAGTTAGATCTACAAACACCCGTCTCTCTCCAGCACCAGTCACCAACCCAGAGGCAGGTGTCTAATTTAGCCCGCCATCTAGAGGACTAAAAGACTCAGACACACAGGGGTGGGAGGAAGAGCAGCAGCAATAGAAAATCTGCAATTTTTACACAAAATGGTTGCCCACTGCTGCTGAAACTGTGACGCAGGTCTCCAAGTCATTTACTTGCTACAGAAAAAAATCTTCTGTACATTCCAACAGCAGCTTTGCCTTCTTGCTCCTAATTCCCTTTTTTGACCTAGCTGCCTTCCTCCCCTCTCACTGCAGTCATTCACAAGACCCCTGTAAACTACCCTTAAGTTTGCAACCCTACACCATCTCTTCTCCTCCCCTTTCTACCACCCTCCCCAATTTATACTTTCTATCTCTCAACCACCAAAACAACTCCCTAGCTCTCAATTTCCTTTCTCTTTGTCTACCCTCCCACAATCCTCCTTCACTACCAATAATTCCAATAGATAAAGGTATTCCTAGACTTTCTCTTCCTCTTTTTTTCTGTTCTGTGGAGTTTATATTTGTCCATCTGCTCAATTTTCTCCAACATTTCTTCCCTTCTCTCTTATTTTATTGCCTACCTAATCTCCTCTACCTATCCTAGTCTTCCTCTTAATTGATTCCTTATATTAGCTCAGCCACCACTCCCTCCTATTGCATAAACTTACCACCTCATGTTACCCACTAGACCTTTCCCTCTCTCACTCATATCACAACTCTTATAACTTCTAGCCTTCCAGGACCACGAAGATTCATCTTCACTCCAATAAAAAACCAAACACACTGAAACAGTGGGCATAACTGGTCTTCATTAGAGATTACTGTAACTTCAAGACTGCAGTTCAATAACTGTGACAGCTTTAGTAGCTAAAGCTGTGCCCTATGTGGAATGGGGATAGAATTCAACATCTTGAGAATAAGAAGCTGAAGGTATTAATATTGAACCACTACCCCCCCACACACCCATCAAGACAAGAAAACACAGCAGAGCTCAACCACCACCCAGTCCTTTACAATCTTCCATAAAGCCCCAAATAAAGGGGTATAAGGAACTGGAAACTTGAACCAAAAACAACCCCAGATCTGCATAAATCTCAACATAGAAACATGAAGCAACAACTCAACAGCTCTCCTTCAAAAGCCAACTCTATGTTTAAGGACCTAAACAACAGTGAAGAGGAAGAAATATCAAATACCGAATTCCAAAAAAATAATAGTAAGAATGATTATGAGCTTAAAGAAGAGACACACAAGGTACTGTCAGAACTCAAAAAGGACATGAATAAATAACTAAAAGAGTGTGAAGAGAATTCAAACAAACAGATGAATGAAATGAAGAAGACCATGCAGGATATGAAAAAGGAAATCAATAAAGATATAGAAACTCTGTAAAAATACCCAATCTGAAATGAACAGCTCAATATCCTAAATAAAAATCTCAACCAAAAGCTTGGCAAACAGAGTAGAGCAAGGTGAAAATAGAGTATGAGGAACAGAAGACAAACTAGAGGAGTTAGACTAAATAGTCAAAGATCACGAAAAAATGCTAAGAAAATATGAATGGATCATGCAAAAAGTCTGGGACACCATCAAAAGACCAAATCTATGAATTATGGACATGGAAGAAGGAGAAGAGATACAAACTAACAGCATAGATAATTTATTCAGTAGCATAATAGCTGAAAACTTCCCCAACCTTGAGAAAGGCAGGGAGGAAGGCTTATAGAACACCAAACTTTCAGGACCAGAAAAGAAACAACTCCAGACATATCATAACCAAAACACTCCATATACAGAAAAAAGAAAGAATACTGAAAGCTAGAAAAGAGAAAAGACAAGTCACATATTAAGGCAACCTATCAGAATAACAGCAGATTTCTCAACACAAACTCTAAACACAAGAAGGTCATAGAAAGACATACTTCAGGCCCTGAAAGAAAACAACTGTCAACCTAAACTAGTCTATACAACAAATAATCCTTCTTAATTGAAGGAGAAATTAAAACCTTCCACAACAAGCAAGAACAAAGGAATTCATAACCACCAAACCAGCACTGCAAAAACTACTTAAAGGACTCTTACACACAGAAAAAGAAATTAGAGTCAGACAGGAAGATGCAAGAAAGAATAACCTTTTTGATCAAGCAGACTAGTAAACAAGGATTAGAGGCAAAGTAAACATCAGGGAAGTAAAAATGACTGGAAACATCGCACACCTCTTAATACTAACACTGAATATCAACGGCCTCAAAGCCCCAATCAAAGGCCATAGGATAG